GCGAATCAACTAGATCGAGAAATGGTGCAGCCAGATACCCACCAAAACAATTTATGTCAACGGAAGTGCTGTCACTAAAATAAGTGGACGTTTTGATGGTTAAAGCAATGATAAAATCCAATGTTGCAAAATACTGAAAGTGTGTTTTCCGGTACACTACAGTACCATCTGAAACAGTGGATGCAAGTTAAACCGAATTTGACTAATCGGTTACATTCAGCGGATCCACATTTACCCTTCGACTGGAGCCCTTTTGGATTCGCATCTACTTGCTTTCTGCTAGTTAGCATAGTGTTGCTACTTTACACAGTAGGCTAGTTAACGTTGCATACTTTTCCGACTGACCGGTTGCGTACCCTGATCAGACGGGTGGGTGCGGACACTTCCTTTTTGGGTCACACACTGCCCTGTGAAGTGAGAGAGAACGCGATAAAACCAACCTGCCCTGACTTGAAACGGACGTACGCTGGTTTCAGTTCACACGCCGGTCAGAACGCCGCACTGTCAGGTGACTGCTGGTGCAAGTTTTGACCCTATTTGATGGCCGGGGCGCGGTTGAGACGACGAGCACCGTCAACTGACAAAACAATTCAGCCGATGCAGACGCCTGACTGGGAAATCTCCAAAACCAGTGGGACGATTTATGTGATAACGCGAGAGAATAATTTCTACACTTAAAGATCCACTAGATAGAGCTGGTAATTCCGTGTCGGATGAGTGGAACTTTGGCGATGTGTGATGAAATGCATAGGGAAGACCACACCACTGGATGATTGCAAAAGATTTCCACAGTTTTCACAAAAACTGATAGATATCGTTCCAATTTTTTCCGGTGGCGGAAAGAGCACTCAATACGGAATTGAGTGGTATATGATAATCCAAATTCCGTTAAGATTACACGTAGATAACGTACAAATTGTACAAATTGTCGGAGCTTCGGTTTTGTGTCCACTTGACAGTGACCTTGAGACAACCAAGACTTCTCGACTTGGATTATGCTGACGATTTTACCCTCCTCTGCGACAGCTCACAAATTTACTAAGCCGCTCTGGACAGATTAGCACTACCTGCCAACTGTTTCGAGCTATGCTTTGCACCCTCAACGTGCAGAGCTTTCTTTCAAGATTGGCAGGGACCGCCTCCTGCGCTGATCCTTAATGGGGATCAGCTGGAAGTCGTTCAAAAATTCAACTAGCTAGGTAGTTGTATCAGCGTCGTTGAAATTGAAGATGAGGTCTGTTGAATACTGCCTCTTGAATACGTCAGGTTCTAACAATGTGATGCCAACTCTCCTAGACAGATGAATGAACGAGACTCAGAATTATTTCTCGCACGGCACGGTAACTGACAATCTCGAAGTCTGTGGGTTCTCGGAACTTAGCCGCGAAAGATTAATTCACGCGAGTCGAACGGGTTCCTAGACCGAACGCAAAATTTCAACGCACGATTTCCCAACCCAAGACTGAAGCAAGAACAAGACAGGCCTTTGCCACAGGCGCTTTTACTGGCCAAAGCTAAGGCGATTCTAGCGTTGTACAGCCTCATTTTATATCACGAAACGGTGATGAAGGGGGGGGGTTTCCTTGGAAGGGTTTGCGTAAGCAAACCCTGGAAACAAGAAACATGGTTTTATGTAAATGTGCAAAGTTCGTAAACTGAGCAGAAATGTTGGAAGTTTGGCGAGAGTTGTCCGGAAAAATGAATGTTGCTTGGATACAACAATACGTGTTTGGTTGGAAACAAGACTGTTTCTGGGTGCAAAGGCTAAACAATGTGCATGTTACACGAGTTGGAAGGCTGATTGAACGTGTGCGTTTTGGCTGGCTCTGAGTACATGTGCACTTGAGTGAATCGGGTTTTCAGCCTTCCGTAATTTCAGCCTTTAATAATTATAGGGACGTTGGGTCCCCATAACAAGGTCACAAATCATACAGCGAAAGCAGGAGCGACTTTTGCTAACTTTCGTCACCTAGGGCGCCGGCGCGACATCACTATCGCCCTGAAGGATAGAGTGTACATTGCAGCGGTACGTTCGACCCTACTGTACGGTTGTGAAACCTGTTCTATCCGATCGAGAGTATAGTTACGTTCGACCATCGGTGCCTTCGCAGTTTGGCTCATATCTAGTGCGAACACCGTTTGAGCGATGTGCGTATTCGACGACTTGTTTAGGGCGCAACTTGAAGATACAAATCGCTCAGCACCGTTATTTCACGCACCCGGCTCCGATGGCTCGTCCACATGTTGTGTATGCCAGCCCACCGACTCCCGCGACGTGCGTTATTTGCGAGCAGGGGGTGTGGATGGAAGAAAAGGAGTGGTGGCCAAGCGATGATTTGGTCATGCGGAATGGAGACCCTTATTTCCCATTTGGTCTCGGTCGGAGCCTCTCGGCTCTCTGGTTGGGGACTGAAAGACGATGAACACGTTTGGCTAGATACATTTGTTGACATGGCTAGGAGCCGACCTCAATGGCGTTCGTTTGTGAGTTTCTTTGTCCCTCTCCCTCCAACCACGATCTCAACAATATCCGGCTGTTAGCTCTTCAGAACTATGCCCATCCGTTACTGGCGACTCATTTGGCGTGCCAATGTTGCATGTTTTCTCTTTTGTATTGCAGCACAATTGCTGAAGTGTTTTCCACCTGTAGCTCATGTGTACACTGATCATGATGAAGCACTCATAAGAATTGTAAATTTTTTTAATTTTGCACCTGCCCTACAACCGCTAATGCATGGTTGTGTTTTCTACGTTTTACAACCACTTGGTTCTCATGCATTGGGTCCAGCTATTCAATACTTAGCTGATTTGTTGACATAGTAATACGCCACTCGTTTTCCTCACTGGACTACGGAATGATCTATTTGGAGAATAATGATTGTTTGCCATGTGAAATTGACTAAATTTCGTAATAGCAGGTGTCATTTTGAAGCACACAGTTGGATGCGTCTCCACATGTAATCTCGGTTGGGACCGCTATTCATTCCGTAGTGAAGGCCTATTAGTTTAATCATTACAACACTGAGTGCAAGCATGCACCGAAACCAGTCATAGAGCATAGTGTTTTCAAGTGGGCAACTCCCAACATGTATCTTCTTCCGATACAGTTTCACTTATTGTATTGAACGGCCTTTGGAATGAATTGCGTGTCGCAAACCATTCATACAAAGAATGCTTCAAAATGATCTCACCAATCAGTCATTAACCGTGGTGACAAGCGTTGCCGGTCGTGACCCGGTGGCTAAAGGGGTAGAGCTTTTAGTTAACACCCCAATAGCACCGAAGTTCTATACCTGCTATCTCTACTTAATGAGGTCAAATAACTTCGAAACGCGTCACGGAGTGCCGTCACGGCCCCAACACTCGCACTGACCAAGGTTCACTCCAACGATAATCGCGGCCCACATTGAGATTGCATGTCGCAATCCACTCCCATAATGTGGGCTTCAAAATGAGTCTTCAATCGGTCATTAACCGCTGTGATAAGTGTTTCCCACGTTGACTTAGGATTAGAGGTTTCCGCTGATGTCGAAAACGCACCGGGTTCAGGACTCAGAGCTGCAATTTCTGCAGGCACGTACCAAACCTGTCATGGGGTGAAGTGTTTGCGAGCGAGCAACACCTAGCATTTATCAGTCTCCGCAATTGTTTTGCGGATCCGGACAGATACAGGAATCAATGACTTTCGACCCTCCAGCAAAGCTTGACGCATGTCTGCTAGCGTGATCATCAGACGTGATTTAGTGTTGTCCATTTAGAATGAATCAAAGAAATTCTGATCTGAAGCTTGAATCACGGATGACACATTTGGAAACCCTGAAAGGTTATTGCACTCACGCATTTTAGGCTACCATTTAACACTAGATCATTGCTAAGGTAGCTCCCCAGGAGATCAAACATCTTTGCTGCCATTTGGGGAGCAAAGCATGCTGTGTAGGCAGCCCGCATGAGCTCTGTTCATTCCGAACTGTTAGCGCTCATCTATTTTCGGGCAATTCAGTACGCCAGGAAGCATTCCCAAGTTAGCCTAGTATCATGGATCGGGAGATTTTGGGAAGATGTGCTTGATGCAGTCGATACCACTGAATCCGAGCTACGGTATATTTTTGCGACATAATAACGAGGCATTATCACTGCTAGCCTTTAATGTCCTCCAGTAGTGGGTACAGCTCGTCCCATCACCATTCAGCTCGTTGCATCTCCACCTAACCTCCGAGTCCTGTGCGCACACCACTTCTTTCTGCCTGTAGAATTAAAGTTTGCTGAGGTGTGCGCTGACAACTCACGTTGCAATAGTTGTGCTATGGAATGGAATTTGGTACCAATGAAATGCTGTGAGTGTATTGGAGATCCAGTGACTGCTTGAGTTGCCCTGATTCACATAACGAGTGCTGAACACGGTTGATGCATCGTGGACTCTACCAGGATATACCTCGTGTTATAACGGAATCCATTGCTACCATCGGTCTATCGCTGATTTAATTCCAGCATAACTTCCAATGTCTTCTGAGCACTTCACACACACACACACACACCACCTGAGTTCAATTCTAAAGAGGAGTGTTCTTAGTGTTGTCCGCGCTCAAATATAAAACTTCATGTCTGAACTTACACTTCACAGTGTTCACTTCGAATTCAAGGTCTTTTAAACCTCTTATGTTATTTATTTTCGTACATATCGCACAGTTTCTACGTCCGCCTAGTTGGCGTTCTTAGTTCAGCACCGGTAAGCCATCATTCGGATCCATCATTAGAATTCTTCTTATAAAACTAATCAATATGCCAATATGTCGCGTATAGATATACCTGCAATCCTCTCAATGTGTGTGTGTTGTGTCACTCGAAATACAATGCGATCATCAGCAAGTACCCCTACACTATGTGTACTATCCGCCACTTTGTCTCCATTTTTGTGTTAAATATCAACTAAACCGATTTCAAGTGAGTGAAAAGCACTTACCCTGACCGTTGTCGTTTTGAAGAGAGAGAGAAACAAATATGAGTTAGACGACTTTTATTCTGCCGTTCAACGAGACAAAATCGCCGAGAATAAATGATATGATCGCCTTCATCTTACAGAAGTGGCCGCTATGCTTCTGCATACTTTCTATTCTACTTCACCCGAACCTGCTGCATCTATGTTTTAGGAATTTAACTTTTTCTGTTCCAATTGCTTCCACAGCTGACCGGCGAATTTCGTCATCTCACAAGATGATTTCGGATGATAAAATCTGATGTCCGATCGGTCCATGTCCATCTACCTCACAGAACATTAGAGATGATTTTCGATTGCATACCAATGGATGACTGACCCATCCATACTCTTGATTTTCTGTCTGGGGTTCAAGGTACTTTTTCGTCGGCTCTAAAGCAGCTCTCCTGAGCACTTCCAGGAAATGTTCTGGGTTAATTATTTGGTTACGAGTTATGCGATTACCCCTTACTATCTTCTTCTTCGTCTCGTTGTTCCCTGTTAGGCTTATCGGCTAGCGGGCACACTAGAATGTAGTTAATCAGTTATTTCCAGGAATCTTACCTCTTTTGAACGGATTGATTCCATACTTGGTATACAGCTTCTGATGTTGGAGTTCCTTCCGCACAGTCTCCGTCATAATTTCCATCTGGTGTACAAAGTTTGTTGGTTTTGGCTCATTTATGGCCATTTTCAGTCGTGTGTGCCAGCTTGGTAACCAGTCTGAAATTAAACAAATGTCAATACATTTACGCCATCGGCGCCGTTCTATTGAATGGAATAAATACTTTGTGCAGCATTGAATGTCCACACTAGATCTCTATTGAAAGCCCCGCATGCTACAATGTTGGGCTATCTATAGGTTGGTTTCATTCTCTGTTCACTTGAACTGTTTTATCCCTTTGTGTACACAAGTGAGTGACCGCATACTCGCCCGCTTTTGCTAGAAACACTCAAGTTACGATCATAATCGTCGAATTGACCAAAGTTCATTTCAATGCGCATCACGGACTACATTGAGATTGCGCGTCACAACCCTCCAATCAACTAATAGTGTCTTGCGTGTTTTGCTCTAAATTATATTGTTGATGTAATTGGACGAAGCGTTTCAACGAGTTCTACTGCTGGGCTACTCCGGTTGGCAACTGTTTTTCGAATGACACTGGAACCGGCTAACTTAAAATTCATACAGTGCTTTACGGCGCCGGTATGCTCGATATTCGCGCGTAATGAGAGTCTGTTCATTATTTTGCGAAAAATTGCTGTTTTACTAAGTGCGAATGTGTGGATTCAACATAGTGATATATCAAAGTTTTTGCCGGCTTGTACTTTGGGCAGAGCACTTTGAACGGCAGTTCGACTAGTCAGTTGTTGTCTTCGAGTTGCCATTCTTGAATCCAATGGTAACGAGCTTGTCTTGTAATCTTGCGGTGCGGATTCGAGCCTACGTAGGAGCAGGGCGGCTCTGGCAGTATTCTTAGCCCAAGTGCGACCGTTGGTGGTTGCGCGGCAGCGAAGCATCGGTGTTGCGTACCGGCATGCTGCTGATGCCCAGCGTGTAAACACGTCTCCGCCATCTGGGGCCGAAATTGCCTATTAGCTTTATCTTCTGAAACTTTACAAATCTCCCTGTCCTGACGAATTGCCTCCGGCACTTTTCAAAGATGGTGGTCTGTCTCGCTTTTCTGCATTAACTACCCTCTTTCAAGAGATTTGGACCAAAATAGTCATCCCGTCCGCTTAGGGCATAGCGGACATCGTGTGGATTTTCAAGAGATGACCAAACGGATTGTGCAAACTATTGATAGATCAGCCTTCTATGCGTTGCGTTTAAAGTCCTCGCCTCTGTGCTTTTACGAAGGCGCAGTCGAGTACGCGAACAGCACACACGTAAAGAACAGGCTGGGTTTCGACAAGGTCGGAGCTGTATTGATCTCATCTTTACGGTCCAACGGATGCTCGAGTACCGCTAAACTTTCCACCAATCTATTATCGTTTGCTTCCTGGACATGCGTGCAGAATTTGACTCAGTTACAAATCTATTTCTGGACCTGTCTACTGAGAAAGGGTGTCCGAGAAGTATGATAGCACTCTTCGGACCACTTACTCCCGGACCAAGTGTGGGTGTGCGACGTGCTTTCGTTCCCTTTAGTATCACCAGTGACGTGAGACAGGGTTGCTCAGCTTCGCCTTTCTCGTTCAACCTCACTATAGATGACATTTTAGAGAGTGCTGTGGGGCTGGTGGCGTGGATTCATTCACTGTTGATCGGTTCCGTGACTTGGAGTATGCTGACGACATCGTCGTTTTCGGTGACTCCTCGCAGGTTACTGTGGACATGCTGCGTGTGTTGAAGATGTCTGTACCACAGATCGGAATGATCTTTGCCCGTCCAAAGTGCAAGGCTTTCTCTAGGAATGGTTAGAACCTGCTCCTACTCTCACCTGCTCCTTGGAGCTATTCGACAAGTTCATTTACTTGGGAGTTGCATTGGCATGTGCGGATCGACGGATGAGACCAATTTACGCATAACCAAAGTCAGAGTAGTATTTGCGAGCCTCCAACATTCTTGGCACCGGCGTGGTCTCAACCGTTCATTACAAAGTCGAATCCAAAACGGTATGATACAGAGAGGTCTTCTGTATAGCTACGAGACTTGGCCCGTTCTAGCAAGCGGTTTCAAGAGACTGTCTCCGGAGCATCTCTAATGGACGTTTATTGTGTCGCATTAGTAATGACGACGTCCGAGGTGGAGTCTTCAAGTCAGACTGACTCACTCGACCATTAATCTGCATAATATCCCTGCGTTTGTTTCGTGAACTCGAGCACCTCTTCCATGTGCCTGCTCAACGGTTGCCATTCCGCGCTTTGTTTCCCTGCGGCGGTGTTGATTGAAAGTGACAGAAAGATGACCAACGCACAACCTGGGCCCATAGTGTCAAGACACTAACATTGCAGTTGGCCATAGTAGGGCATTTCAGACTCTAGGGTTGAAGGCCTAAGGACAATGAGCACACCTGGTTGAAAACACTATCGGGTATGGTCCAGACGCGGTGCGCAACGTGGTTCTACAGATGAAGTCTGCACTTAGGATGAAGTAAGCTAACCTAGGTATCCTTAAGTTGCCTCCTTTAGGTAAGATTTTTCTTGCTTTTCATCTCTTTTTACAATTAACTCTCGTAACTGTTTGAAAATATTTACATCATCATCTTGCGTCTCTCACGGTGGTGGAGATATGCACTGAGACTGGTGAACGGCGAGTGTTCTTAGGTTTTTTGCCAGCAGGAGGAATGGGCAGCCGGAGAGCACCGCCTGCTCCCTCGACCCCGTAGACATTACTTCTTCTCTTTCTCCCTTAACTATCTTTTCTCTCGTCTACTGAGCAAGAGACTGCCTCTGACATTGCAGCTGCTACCGTCAATACATTTAACTCGTCCCTCAAACCAAGGGTCTCATTTCACATTGGTTCGTTTAATTTCTTCATTTTGGATCAGATAGGACAACAGACATTCTTTGCTCCCTTGGTATTTATGTGTGCTGTGACTACGAAACACGCGTACAAGATAATAGTGTCATGACAAAACATCTACTTTCTGGATCTGATGACAATGACTACAGTCTTCGCGTCTCTGGTGATACTGAATCAATGGCTCAAGGCATTTATGGTGTTGATATCACACTCAGCAAGCTTGCTGTAGGCAGTTTACTCGACCGGATGCCAATGAACAGCCGCATATGTGTGGTTCGACTTCGAAACTCAATTTGGTTTAATAAGCACCGTCTAAAGAGAAGGTGCACTTTCATCGTTCCCGTGTATGCCCACATCCACTGCACTTTGGAGCGCACAAAAAGTTATTACTATTGTGAATTCTCATCTCTTCTTAGCATAACGAAAAATACTGACATGGTGATTGTTGCTGGTGACAATTGGGTTGCCTATCGGACTATGAACAGCAGCACGTGGGTGGTCACTTCGGAGTCGATGTACGTTGAACAAACAATGGTGCCCGACTCTCGCAACCATGTGTCGTCCACAATCTTTGTATTAGTAGCACAGCTTTCGAGCACCGTTCAGATCGTGTCACTCGACATCCACTGAAGTCCTTCATAACCTGGACCTAAATTAACCATAATAACATCAGCTATAGATAGCGTACATCAGTTGAAGACTTTTGGTCATTTTGGAGCGTGTGCCTCGATTCCGATTGTTGTGTACCGGAAAACACGCACTTTCAGTATTTTGCGACATTGAATTTTACCATTGTTTTAACCTTCAAAACGTCCACTTGTCCTACTGACGCCACTTCCGTTGACACAAGTTACTTTGATTAGTAGCTTGCTGCACCGTTTCTCGCTCTGGTTGGTTTGATTCCTATTTTTGTAGCTTACACAATACACGTTGGGTTCAGTCGCCTCCCACTTCTATACTGTCCCATATTTAACACTTCTCTTACGTGTCATTGATTACCGACTAGTATCCCAGGCACCACCCAACACAACTACGCCTGGCGCTCATTCTTTCCGCTTCAAATAAGTGATTAATGTTTAAGTTTCTCCATGGTAACTTGAACTTGCAACCTGCAGTTCACCAATATTTTGACGAACTGGCCCACCAGGTGTCGTTTCAAGTGTGCCATGAAGTATGCTTTCCGTATGTCCTAATTACTACTTCCGAGCCATGTATACGTCTCTGAGGCACCGATCACTTTGCTCAAAACACGCAAACACATTCCACTGGTTACTGAGTTTCGGCCTGTCCGTAACCTCCTGAAACGACTGCAATCTTTGCTAGCAGCTGTCTTCCAGCTGGACTTAAAGTCTGAGGACAGCAAAACTCCGAGATCAGATTGGAGTTGAACTCGCGGTACCTCGTTGCCGCCAAGTAACTAACGCGTCGGTGGGTCATTCGGATCAACGCGTAAAAATGAACATTGCTAAATTAATGGGGAACTGCCACAAAATGGACCAGCCCCAAAATCTATCCAGAGCCCTCTGTAGGGTCAGTGGACCAATCGAATCGTCTATCGTGAGTCAGAGTTTTAAGTCATCCGCAAACATTAGGGATGGTACACCCAATTCATCGGGTAGGTCATTAACGTATAAAATGAAGAGTAGGGGGTCAAGGACTGAACCTTGCGGAACGCCACTGAGAACACATTAGAGGAAGAGCAGGCTTGAACCCACCCACACACACATTTCCCTTCCGATTAGGAAAGCTGAAATCCATCGTTAGACTGGTCCAGAAATACCGTAGGCCTTCAGCTTGTACAAAAGGCACGAATATGAAACGGTGTCAAAAGCTTTGGAAAAGTCAATGAACATCATGTCCACTTCCTTTTCGCAATCAACAGCTTCGGCCCAGTATTCACGAGCCGTTAACAAGGTAGTAAGGCATGAATAGCCCTTACGAAAGCCCTGCTGAGAAGGATTAAGCAACTCAAACACTCAAGTGTCCTTCGAGAGCGTCTTTCACAAGTTTTTCCAACAGCTTAACCAGCACGCTCGTCAAGCTAACTGGTCCATAGTTAGCAGGGAGGAGCTTATCACCTTTCATAAAAATGGGAAAACGATAGCCTTCTTCCAATCAATGGGTAGAGAGTAGCTGCACAGAAACTACACAGAAAGTTGTGTAATCGGAGGGCGAAGTTCATCAGCCAACTCATACAACAGTTTGGGATGAATATCATCTCCACCGGCAGCTTTATTTGGATTTAGTTCCTTCAG